AAATCTTCGGCATCCAATTCCTTGGTTGGTTTTTTGTTGAAAAATTTACGCAAGTCTTGAACCCCTTTCTCATTGCCTATTGCTTTTTTTGCTTGTTTTGAAACACTGGATTTTTTCTTGTCATCACCACCGGCGTCATTTTCTGCGTCTGGAGTTACAAATGTCTGCAAACATTTTGGCTTTATGTCTGTAGGTACCAAACGTGGCGCCTGATTATACAAGGAGCGCCGTACAACTGAGGAACTTAGTATTTTCTTATTCATTTGATCCTTGCTATGGAGGACATCTTTCAAAATTTGTTGCTCTCTCCCCTCGGTAACTAGCATTACGACATTTCCATTTTTCTTTCTTCCAGTTCGGCCAATACGCTGAATAAACCTTGTGGGATTTGTGGTACTTATATCGAAACAAACAATTAAATCCACCTCACCCACATCGATACCCTCTTCGCCAATGGAGGTGGCAATAAGTATGTTGATCTGTCCCGAACGAAAATCATTCATTATCTGTATTTGTTGCTTTTGGGTGAGGGGTCTTAAATTGCCGGTGCCACCTTGGCCTTAAGGGGGAAGATAAAACATTAAATCAGTTTCCATTCGATAGAATCTAAAATATGACTCATTCTTACCCACAAAACATTTTGGCTTCAATAGCGGGACATGCTGAAGAAGCATACGATAAATTAACAAAACCGACTCACGATATTCACAAAAGACTATGGCCCGAGATTCCGCATGGTTCTGTATCAAAACAATAACAAATATATAATTAAATTGGAAATAGATTATTTTCAAAATTTAGCTACTCACCTCGAAATGTTTGAGCAAACACTCCCTGGCCTTTTCGAATTTCGGATGACCAAAATCCAAATCTTTTGGGATTTCAGCAATCTTACCATTCGTCATGGGGCCAGCGGAAACATTAAACGGATTAGGACCAACTTCCTCGTTTAGGCGATCAATCATATTACGCAAACGGCGATCCATTTGTATAACGAATTTCGTTTTCCCCTCCATGTCTTCTTCAAAGTTGTTGAGGAAAACTCTTACACCATGACGTTCGAGTAACTCCAGCGAATGGTATAGGCTTATGCAAATGGAAAAATTACTCATTATGGCGGAATGTTGAGGATGACGTCCATTGTGTTGACAACGTTCCTGATAACGTTTTTGTTCGTAGAGTAAAAAATTGCGATTTATATTTGCCAAAGATCCTGAAAGCATTTGGCAATCTATGAGCTGTCTCAAATATGGATCAATTATCTCCAAGAGTTCTTCTCGTATTTCTTTAATACGTTCCCCCCAGGATACCACCACAGTTTCCATGGAACGTTTGTGGACATAAGGCACCACATCCACTGAATTCTCACAACGTACCTGAATATGAGATATTAAGAGATTACGAATCACCTCCGCCACATCATCCATGGTGCGTCCCGGAGTTGCGGACAAGGCAACTACACGAAAATATCTATTCTTTGCAGCAATTGCTTGAACAACTTCAACGTAGGCATATTTCCCTTTGGCCTTGTGCGCTTCATCCACAACAATCAGTTTGATATCATCGAAAGGAAATTCAAATTTACAGGAACTTGTTGAATCTTCCAATATGCTTTCCACTCCCTCCTCATCACCCTGAACATAGTTGCCCAAAATATCAGATTGTACAACTTGGGGTGTGGCAAAAAACACTCGCTTTGTTTTCCATAGCTCAGCACGTTTGGCTTTTGGTAATCTTCCAGTCAATTCCACTGTGTCTTTGCGGGGAAATGGCATAATTTTTTGGCAGGCTTCTATCTGTTGATTCACCAAGGGTCTTGTTGGAGCCATAAATATCACCTTGCCTCGGGGATACCAACGATACAGATTGTACATGACCACAGCCGCAATAAAAGTCTTACCCAAACCAGTGGGCAGCACCACCAGAGTATTGCGATACAAAGCCGCCTGAACAATACTCATTTGATAGGATCGACATGGCAGATTACTGGGATAGATCCAGGTGTCTCCAACATTCCTATCAAATCCTCTGTGTTGCTCAACATCACACAGTTTTGAAGAATTATTCAAACCTTCCAGAGGTTTATCCAATATCCCCATCAACGTGTGCAGTTCCTCATCATCGAAATTTGCGTCCCATGGATCTTCATCGTTGGCATTGGTTTTCGAAGTCATTTTCAAAAAGATTTCAGCGCCATAACAATGTAAACAACAAACGTCGTAATATGTATGTATGTAAGAACAATATAAAAAACGGTAAACAAAAGAAAATGCCCGATAACAAACAAAAAAAGCAAAAAGAAAAACACAACTAATTTGTTTACGAAAGAAAAACGTAGGAAATGTAATCAGCTGGGAGAGTAGGGTTCCAAAGGCACTGCAAAGTAGGGATCACAAAGTCAAATTAAGAAGTGTCAACTTGTAGCAATGAAAAAACGCCACAAATTATGAATTGCCATAGTGTTGTAAAGAGTAACATTTTGGTGTTTAATATAAAATGCCACTTTTTGAGATAAATTATCGGATTTCTTTTGCATCATAGAGAGGAAGTTATGCTGTTAATAATAATAAACAATATTAGTCAAATGGCTACCACGAGTTCGTTCTCCAGCACAATATCGTTTCCACATGGCACAATGACGACAAGTTAGACTAAAGATGAGGGTACATAAGCAGCTTGGCATCATGGCTAGGCATATTAATATCAAATTATGAGGGACAACGACGGTAGAATTTGAGTGCGGCTCTGGCATTCCTTTATGATATGTCACAAAATATGCCATCCGAAGACTTCAAGCTGCTTATATGCCCACACCTAAACTTAAAAAAAATCCTGTTTGGCTTGTAATGTCATTATTACTATCAAAATAATCAAAAAAACCAAACAACTTGTTGCATTGATTTTGAATAAATAATTAAAAAACAGCGAAAACTGAATTACATGTCAAATTTTTTTTTTCAATAATCATGTTCTATGCACCTCTAAAGGTTTATTTCGCTACAAAAACTGTAGATTTTGTAGATGCATATGTTGCAATAAGCATTTTAAAAACATCAGAATTTGAATATTTTTAGAACATTTTTTTATTATTCAAAATCTAAAAAGATTTGGATATAGCTCCCATATATAAAGGTTGATATAAAAAAAAACAAATAAAGTCATACGCCATAATTTTTTTTTTTTTTTAATTTTATTAAATGAAAGCAAAAAATGTCGAAAATAGCATCAAATTTAGAATATGTTTAGATTTGTTCGAATTAGTCACGTTTGGCACGAATTATGGCCTTCAAATGACAATGAAAAGGTCACACAGCGCCCGAATGTGGCTCTGCGGTATTTTGGCCGATTCCCGGCGAAGCGTTTGCTTGAGGTGATCGACACTTTTTTATTTTTTAGTGCCAACTTTGCTTTCCAAAATACTCCCGACACTGTAGTCCAACGGATTGATATCCGGAGATTTGGTTGTCATCGTGAATGAAGCAAGGAACCTCATTATGCAACCATACTTGGGTGGCGCGTGCTGAATGCGATGGTGCTGAGTCCTGTTGAAATATCGAAGGTCTGCTAAAATGTTTTCGTGCCCAAGGCTTTAATACACCCTCCAGAATATGTTCACGATAATATTCGGCATTTGTTCTGATGCCACGGTCGATTAATAGGAGCGGAGAGCGACCATCGGCTATTATGGCGGCCCACACCATCACCTTGGCCGGCGCTTGAGTTCTGGTGGAGTACTGCTGAACAAGGAATATTTTCTCATCGGAGAAACCCAAATTCGATAGTTTACCACTTTCGACCAAGCGAAACAACTCTTTGGCTCTTTTGAGACATTTTTCTTTCTGTTGCGGTGTAAGTTATTGCACATTTTGAAATTTCAATGGTTTTATCCCGAGCTAATTTTTAATGGAATATTGCGATATGTTCAGCTCACAAGCCATTTTTCGGTCACTGTGACGCGGGTTTCGATCAAGTAGCTTCTTCACTTTTCGAACCATTTCTGCTGATGTTGCTGCTTTCTTCCGTCCACTTCCTTGACATCAAGCTGCGCTACCAGTATCACGGTAACGAGCGATGGTACGAGACACAAAAGATTTATTCACATTTAAATGCTGGAGTGCTCTAACGATAACCACAAGTGGTTTTCCAGCCAAATATAAAGAAATCACACTATCACGCTTGAATTCCATCACAAATAACATTTTTTCTGGAAAATTCTTATCAACATGCTTTTGTACGCTTGTAACCAGTATAATGAGCTGTCACTGGAATAATTTTAACAGCTGTCGGACGAGTGGCTTAGAAATGACAGCAGTCTGAAGTTTGTTGCAGTTGTTTCATCTCACCCTGTAGTTGGTGTGATATACTTCATATACTTAATACGCAAGTGGTGCCGTCCGACTTTTGACTTTTCGTTAATGTAAAAAAACTGCATCAAAATATTTCTGCTGTTAAGATTTGAGCCAAAGTTGTTGTTGTCGTTTACATTTTGCAATTTTAGAGAGGGAAAATCGTTTATTTCTCAGTAACTTCTCACCATGGTAGAATTGGTATTTCTACCATGCTTCTTACCCAGTAATTGTTATTGGGAAAATAAACGAACGGACCTAATTTGACTAGCAATTTTTTCCATGGTAGAATAATACAGGTAGATGCATCAACGCTTGAGAACATTGCTATATCAATGAATGAAGTCTCAATAAATAAATAATAATAATAATAATATAAGTATATTTTAATGTGTTTTCTTATACGACGTCATTCGTAAAATACGCTTTTTTCAACAATTTTTACAAATTTAAATAATTTTTCATTAAACAATTTCCATTTCCAAATTGGTTTGACAGTCCATTGTCCCAGCAGCGTCTAAATATATTCTTCTATCATGAATTTTTTCCGTAAAATAGGAAATTCCTATTAAAGGCCATCCAAACAGGCCACCTTCTGACAAACAACGTTTTTCTTGCCGCTGTGAACTGCCTTTCTCACCCATACACATTTGGCTCTCCACCTAAAAAGACCCCAACAACACTCCACTTCACACCGACACCGTTTCGTTTGGGTCGTTCTTTGCTATGGAAACGAAATGTCAGTTCGTTGAAAAATGTTGTCTAAGCACAACAGCCATACGGACGTCGTCGGTTGGTTTCGTTTTGCGTTTGTTCCATCGACAACAACTATGCTTGTTCTTCTTCTACTTCGTGCACAAGTTCATCGAGTTTGTTATGATGGATGGATGCAATGACAATTTATGTTTGTTATTCGTGTGTTTTTTTTGTATTCCAAAGCCCAATCCAATGAAATGAATGTTTGATGGAAATTGTTTATTAAAAGAAAAAGTAGGCCCGATTATTTGGGCTGCCATGAAAATTGAAACAAAGAAAAAGAACAGCAAGTGAATGTGTTTTGTCAATTCTATTTCAATTTGTATTTCCTTGCAATTATATCCCAGTCTTTGAATAATTAATAAATGTAAACAAAAACAACACGGTCTCTCTCTGGCGAAAAAGTGAAACAATTTGGCGCGCCATTTCTTTTTGAAGGCAAAAATGCAAAAAAATTAAATTGTAAAATAGAAAGAAAAGCAAATGAAATGAAAAAAGTTTAGTTAATTTATGCAAAAAATAGTTGCATTACAAACGGGGTCATAGCTTAAGAAACTACTTTAAAGAAGAAAGTAGTGAGTCCCTGGCCACAGTTCACGTGGAAATCAAGTCTTGTCTTCCCATGCTAAGGCAAGAATTGCAAATGTAAGTTTCATATTTTTTTTGAATATCTACGTTTAAGATCTGTTTTTATTTGTTTATAAGATAAGTTAATTTTCTTTATAAAAACAACGTTGAGAACAAATCATATGAGAGGGGAAATTGCAAACATCAACATTTTCCAATTAGATTTTGTTTCGCTTTCCAAATTATTCCATTTTATCCTTTTAAAATGGAAATGTCATATTCTCTCCGACAAAAGGAGAATTGATCAGTTTTGTTTCTACAGTGGCCCCATTCATATAAAATGTGGTGCTGACGTTTTTTCACTGTAGTAATAATCATTCTTTTTTATACCCTACACCACAAGGTGGTCAGGGTATTATGTGTTTGTGCACTTGTTTGTAACAGGCAAAAGGAAACGAGATAGATCCATAGTTCCTTATGATGATCTGCATAGAATCACATTCTGAGTCGATTTATGCATGTCCGTCCGTCTGTCCATGTATTTTTGTAAACATTTATTGCCCTATCCAGATGAAAATTTGCACAAATCATTTGTTTGGCCCAAGGACGAACCCTATTGAAATTGGAGATAATCGGTAAAAAATTAGATATAGCTCCCATATATATCTTCGTCCGATTTGCCTTTTATTGTGCACCAAACGTGTAATATCAGCCCGAATAGTATGGAATTTTGCACATGCAACCAAATTAGGCCTGAAAATAAGTATGCCAAATTTGATCGAAATCGGTTCAGATATAGCTATAGCTCCCATATATATTGTTCATCCGATTTGATATTTTTGTCCTCCGCAGCCGTATTATGCACTATGTAACAATAATATTTGGGGAAATACATCAAATACAGTTCAGAAATACATTTGCTAAATTTTATCGAGATCGGTTCAGATTTGGATATATCTCCCATATTTAACTTCGTCCGATTTACCTTTTTTTGTACACCAAACGTCTAATATTTACCCAAATGGGATGAAATTTGGCACTTACGACCGAATTGAGTCTAGTATGTCAAATTTGGTGAAGATTGGTTCAGATATAGCTATAGCTCCCATATATACTGTTCATCCGATTTGTTATATTTGTTACCCACAGCCGTAATATGCATTCCGTAACGACGATATTCAGGGAAACATATCAAATACAGCTCAGAAATATCTTTGCCAAATGTTATCGAAATCGGTTCCGATTTGGATATAGCTCTCATACATATCTTTATCCGATTTCAAATTAATTGTGCACCAAATGGGCAATAAAAGTCCGAATTTAAAAGATACAAATGCTTCGGCATATTTAGTCCTATGAACTTTAAATTATAATTATAAACATAGCGTGTATGATGGAATTCTCCCATAAAAATTTTTAATTGTTATGCGGAGCTCTTCTCAATTAGAATATTTTATTAATGAAGTTATATTCTTGATTTGAAGGTCCTATTCTATTTTAGACATATCGGTAAATCGTAATAAAGAGTGGCAATGACGAGGTAAATTTAATTGACGAATGGTTGGTTTACAACTTCTGCACTAATGTACTATATTGAGTGTATCTATAACAATATCAACTACATAGGTTTGCGTTTTCTTATGACCTCCATATAAGGGTAAATCCCGGACGATTCAAGCCACGTTTTCTAACGGAATTGTTTAAAACTGAGATTTTTAAATGGGTTTCACTACCAGTGGCAGATCATACTACATACAGGTTCCCACGTTTCCATACAGATCCGATATTTGGTGATGACTTTGGTCACATCTTTTTTATACCCTCAGCCATATGGCTAGAGAGGGTATTTATCATTTGATACGGTCAAAACATGCCTAGTCAAAATAACGGTTTTAGACCCTAGGTCTCTTTGGATCAAATCCGTTTCAGAACATTTGGAGTCGATCTAGCGATGCCCGCTGTCTGGCTGACTGGTGTGCACCGCAAGCTCTCGAAGGAAGTATCCCATTTGGTCCAAACTTGGTATATCGTAATATTTTTGTCAAACTAAGATTGAGTTCGGAGATGGGTCCACTCCTTCTGGTACCCCCCAAAAAAGGTCGAAATTTTAAAAAATATATTTTTTGGACAAAAAGGGCAAGGTTAATCCGATTTTGCTCCAACTGTGTAATTATTAATATTTGCGTCATTGCTAGGTCATGTGCGAAAATGGACAATATCGGTCCACTTCATCAATTACCTCCCCCACAAAGGGTCGAAATATTGAATAATTTCAACTCTTATAAAATGTGATGTAAGAGTCCAATTGTCTTCAAATTTTACACATCCCAATATTTTTTTTAGCCCAAGGTCTGGTGATAACATGGAGTATATCGGTCCACTCCTTCTGGCACCTCCCCCACAAAGGGTCAACATTTTCAAAAAATATATATTTTTTCTGCACAGAAAGGAAAGCAATAATCTAATTTTGCTCTAACTTTGCAAATCCTAATATTTGCGCCAGTTCTAGGTGAGGTACAATAATAATATAGGTCCACTCCATCAAGTGCCTCTTCCACAAAGGGTCAAAATTTTGAATAATTATAACTCTTAAAAAAATATGATGTAAGAGTCTGATTGTCTTCAAATTTCACACATCCTAATATTTTTATGTACCAAAGATCTGGTATTAAGACGGAATATATCAGCCCACTCCTTCTGGTACCTTCCCCGCAAAAGGTCGAACTTTTGAATATCCGTGAAACTCACTTAGACTTGGCTCATCTGAATATTTCCGCAAAACACAAGATCTGTTATAAAGACGGTAGAGATCAGACTAATCCTTCTGGTAGCTCCCTCACAAAAAAGAGTCAACGTTTTGAATGATCAAAACGTTTATAAAATCCGAAATATGTATCCGGTTCTCTTCATATTTCACACATGCAAACATTTTTGCTAACACAAGATCTGTGGTGAAGATTATATATATCTGCGAACCTATTCTGGTACCTCACCCACAAAGGGTCACAATTTTCAATACTTTTATCTGTCTTAACTTGCGACACAAGTCAGAAATTTTTCTAAAAAATATTACAGTCGAAACCTGGCACGTCGGAATATTTATATCATATCTGTTTAGGTCCGATATGAAATGGACACTATTGGTCCATTTCTTTGGAACCTACTCCATTGAGGGTCAACAATTTTAATAATCATATCAGAAGTAAAAAATATAGTTAAACAAATGATAGTGAAGGATGTAACCAATACAGTCGAAACCTGGCACGTCGGAATATTTATATCATATCTGTTTAGGTCCGATATGAAATGAACACTATTGGTCCATTTCTTTGGAACCTACTCCATTGAGGGTCAACAATTTTAATAATCATATCAGAAGTAAAAAATATAGTTAAATAATTGAACTTTGGGTGAGGGTATAGATCTGTCGGCAAAACCGGCTGATACTTTTCAAATTGTTTTAAGGGAATCGTATGAAAGATCGGTACAAAGAGTTTGTAATGGGTTTTGTCTTCTGTGGGATTATTGCTTATATCGTTCATAAAGCGCTACCTCCGAATATTTGGTATTTAGCTAAATTTTGGTATGCTCCACATATATAGTATGGAGGTTATATTTATAAGCTAGCATTTCGCTCAAGACCTATGGCACATATTTTTTTGCGATTTAGCTCTATTTCTTGAACTATAAGTTGGTTTCTCTACGGTGATTTTAGTAATTAACCGGAAATATTGATATTTTCCTACTTCTAGTGCAATGTTACATTTTGGGTTTTCAGATCATGCCCCTTTGAAAATGGCATTCTCCATAATTTTGAGAACAAAATATTACCCCTTTTTAATTATGAATAATCAAAATTTTCAGATTGTCACAAAAAATATATATCGGCATTAGTTCATATAGTTATGGAGCCACTGTGTGTTATTTCGCATATGTTTCCCATTATATTGTATTTGTTTTGATTACACCAATTCACTTTGTCAAATTAATTTTGTTTATGTGTCTCCGCTCCTCTCTCACCCTGTTCTTTTTTCATATTTATTCTTATCGTTTCATGTTGTTTCACCCAGTTGTTTCCATTCTGTGTATGCTTCGAAATGTATGTGTTTCTTTCCATTCCGTTTCTCTGTATATCTCCCGTTTTCTTGTTTTTGTTTCGTTAGTTTATGCAAGATCAGTACGGTTGTTTTGTTCTCACCCTCTCTCTATCGTTTGCTCATTCCATGGGTTTGGGTTCATTGGTGTCGTTACTGTTGTTGTTGTTTAATTTCGCATTTTATTGTGGTTGCAATTTCTTACGTACAACAATAAATCACCACATGCACGCGTATGTGTGTTGAATTGTGGGACTGTGCATTGTGATTTGCAAAAAATAAAAAACAAATGAACTAAAATTGAATGATAATTTGCATACATAATTAGAATTATAGACGGGGGAGAAAAAGGAGACACCTTTCTGATTTTTCGTTGTTTACTTTTTTCATTAAGTTCCCAGAAGTAATAGAATTCAGGTAGGTATGGTTATTTAGAAATTCAATGTCAAAAGTAAAAGTTACTTCTTCCGTTTTGCAGTTACCTCTGTTTGGCCGTCAGTTAAGAAGAAAGCAATGATTTCAAGTTGGAAGAGGGCGGCTATACAATTCCTCACACAATATTTATTGGATATTTGGTTAGTTGTGTTATATCCATGGTAGAATTAAGAAGGTAAAGTCATGTCAAGTCACATATGTTATTTTTTTTTCAAAATTTTCCGTTTGACAACATCTTATTGTAAAATATATATTTACAAATCCAATATAAGTATACAAAAAATCAGAGATGGAAACCCAGTTTTTATGCAGTAAATTTTGGCAAGGTAAATTACAGAAAATGCAGAGATGGGTACACTTATTTGAAATGACTTTACCTTTTTCATTTTACTATATTCGAATGCTAAAATCTAATTCCCGTTCAATATTATAAGATAATGAATTAATCATGAATATAATTTTTTGATCTTTTTAGGTTCAACCAAACGGGAATGAATCGACTTTAAATTGAAAAATCTGTTAACATTACATTTATTGTATGGACAATTT